CTGAAACGGATTACAGTTACATTTATTTTGTAATTAAATTACGTAACACTGTTACATGTAACTAATTACTCCCCAACACTGGCAATAGGCATAGTGCATTCTATAGTAAATCACAATTACAGTTTGACTATTTTATCCAATATTTGTGTGTCTAATTTTTCATGCTTATTTGGTCTGTTTACCCTGGTTAGGATACTGCTTTAAAAGACAGCTGCCTAGTTAGGTAGTTGGTGGTATGAGGCAGTTCACCATTTTTTTAACAGGTCCATTTTGTTCATTATAACTACTCATTTGGAGTCTTGATATAATTTAACAAGTGTATGTCCTAATAATATGACAAACTCAAAGACTAATCTGCTGCCAGACACTTTCGAGGACTCTGCTGAGATTTACAGCCATCATTAGTAGCAGGGCTTTTATCCAGAGGACAGTTTTATTGCTTAGAGGTTGCTCGTTCATGTCTCTGGAGACTTAAGATGAGATCTCTTTTAATTGCTGACTTTTAATTTGGTGTCTCGGAAAATCTGAGCACAGTTTGAGATTTCTTTTTAACTCTAGAGCTGACACATGTGAAATACTAGATTACAGATTCTTCCTTTGCTCTTAGTTGATGTCTTAGGAGATCATTAGTTTTTTTTTTTTTTTTTTGCCACAGGAATGATTTTGTATACAAATGTCCACATGAAAAAATAACAAGAAAGTTTTAGGATTTAGAAAAATATTCATTTTATGCCATAGATTTTCTTTACTTAAAGGTGCTGTATGTAAGTTTTTGACTCTACTAGAGCATAAAAATACCATAATATGTTTGCAGGTATTTAAGAAACATGCTAAGTTAACATACTTGTTTATCTGAAAAACAATGCTACAGTCAGTTATTCTCCTTTGAAAATGTGTGTTCCGGGCCGGAATGTCTGTCTCTGTTTTGGTTTGTGAAACCCGCCCACTGCCAGTTTACCCAATTGTATTTCGTCACCCCGGGTTGCCAGTTGGCGGAAAACACAGCGTATTTCATTTCATTCATCGTCAAGTGCGCTCGTTCCTGTTGGTGTCGTCAATCTGGCAACCTGCGTGTGCGTCAAGTCTGAGGAGGAGGGGCCGGGTGAAAAAAACCCTCTCCAATATTTTGAATTAGGACTGTAATATCTAGTTAAACCACTCGGTGTCAATCCTACATACAGCACCTTTAATAAGAATTATTTCATATTCTGCAGGTCATATTTCTACATCACTATTCAAATTAGCAATTTTGCATGTGAACTTTGTATGAAGGGTCAGATTTTCATGCTACCATTGAAGCACAAGATGCTCTTTGAAACATCTCAGATTATCCCAGACAATGATGATTTAACCCCTTGCATTAAGGGGAAGGGGAAGTCGTGGCCTAATGGTTAGAGAGTCGGACTCGTAACCCAAAGGTTGCGGGTTCGAGTCTCGTACCGGCAGGGATTGTAGGTGGGGGGAGTGAATGTACAGCGCTCTCTCCCACCTTCAATACCACGACTGAGGTGCCCTTGAGCAAGGCACCGAACCCACCAAAGCAGCATAAATGGCTGCCCACTGCTCCGGGTGTGTGTTCACGGTGTGTGTGTGTTCACTGCTGTGTGTGTGCACTTTGGATGGGTAAATGCAGAGCACTAATTCCGAGTATGGGTCACCGTACTTGGCCACATATCACGTCACTTTCACTTTTAAAGCTGAAGTACCAACTATTAAATCGTTCTGCAATTTATGTACATTTTTCATTTAACCCTTTCAGTCATTTTACTGATAAAGAGCATTTTCACTAATGATCTTGGACTTTTAGACCCATTATTTGTATGCTCTCCTTTTTAATCATCTTCTTTTGTATAGAAAGCTAGCTTTAAAGTGAACAGCACCCTTTGAACTCAGTCCTTAAACAATGTTGGAATCACATTCTTCATAAATAAAGCAAAAAGTTCTGTTTATTTATAAAATCAAAGGCTGAATCATAGCCCTCCATTTCAATGTATATATTTTTTTTGCTCTCGCTGCATATACCACCCGTAAAGAAAATAAATTGCTAATTTAAAACCTATGATTAGAAGTCCCTGTTGGCTCCTACAGCTCTGAGCAGTTTTTAGTGCAATCACACTCTTAGGAAATAGGGCGAACAGCATATAATTTTACAAAAGTGGCACATAAAAGCACAAGGACAAAATTATATGTTAGTGCTTTTGTATAGAATTTAAAGCTACTTGAAGAACCATTAAATACAATGCCTTGTTTTTTTGGTGATTTAATATTTTTGCGTTGTAGATTTTATTATTTTTTTTACAACAATTAAATAAACAATTGGCTTTGAATTTGTCATTGTACTATTATTAAATTATTAAAATTATTAAAATGTCATTTACTTTTTATTAAGAGGACAGCATATCTGAGATTAATAATGCAGTCTCTTATGCTCACCAATGCTGCGTTTATTTGACCAAAAATACAGTAAAAACATTAATATTGTGAATCATTATTACAATTTTAAATAACTGTTTTCTGTTAATATATTTTAAGAATGTAATTTATTTCTGTGATGCAAAGCGTAATTTCTTCAGTCTTCAAGGGACAGTTCACTCAAAAATGAAAATTCTATCATTGTTATTTTATAAATCTTAATTATTCCAAACGTTGGACTGCCAGTAAATATATATTCTTTTTACAAAACTACTAAAAATTATATAATATACAGTTAGGTCCATATATTTTTGGACACAGGCACAATTTTTATTATTTTAGCTGTTGACCAAAACATAATCACGTTATAATATAATATGGGCTTAAAGCGCACACTCTGAGCTTTAATTTGAGGGCATTCTCATCACAATTGGAGGCAAGGTTAAGGAATTACAGCTCTTTAATATGTACCAGGGCTGTACGCTAACTTTTTTGCACATAGCACTAGTGCTACAGAGGTTGAAAGTTTTGTAGCACAGGCCAAAAAGTTGTAGCACAAGTATAAAACGTCTGTTATCATGTCTAAAAACAAACACAAGTAATGGAGTTCATCACGTAAACAGGCACTGATGTTCCATACAGAGCACAAAAAATACAAACCATCACAAAAATTGTTTTTAGACAAAGTTTTCTTAATTTGCTAAAAATGGAAGAGTGCAGAGTATTTACAACATTTTATTTTTCAGGTACAGTATTTAGCAGTAACATTCAAGAAATTGAATGAACAAATATTAAAATAAAACACTATATACACTATATACATCAATTATACTTTTTTGATGATAAGTTCATCAGTCAAGAGCAGTGAGTGATTTTTTTTTTCTGTTTTGTTGTTTTATTAACATTAAAAGAATAGTTCACCAAAAATGAAAATTCTGTCATCTGTCTTTCAATTCTGTCATAGTATTTCATTTTTATACCATCATTTACTCAAGTTGTTTTAAACCTGAATTA